AAACGAAGAAAATGTATATAAAATAGAATTTCAAAATATTTATCTCTGGACTCTTAACCGTGTAATTTAAAAATAAATACAGAGAAATATTAGTAGATATATTTTCAACCAGTGACATTTGACTTATGAGTTAATTATAAGTTAAACTGATAAGATATTGCTTTACTTAAATAAGTAAGTAGTGTAGTAAAATTAAAGAAAATCTGATTTGCAACAGATTTTCTATGCAACGTCAAATGTTTGACTATTTTGACGGCTGTCCCTTTAGACGTTTTTGGCAGGTTTTCTGTCAAATGTGTAAAAGTGACAGTTGTTACCGAACTGCAGTACTGAATACTTTATGTTCTTAAAAAAATTATTTAAGTACAAAAAGTACTTAAGTACTGTATTTTAAGTACCTGCGAAAATGCCTGTACTTGTACTTACATTTTTAAGTTCTTGTCGTTGTACTAAACAGTAAAATTTGGAGTTAAGTACTTGTTTGCTTAAAATAGTGAAGAAAGAAGACAACTAAGTACTTTAAAAGTACTTGTTACGTTCTTTAGTATGTCAATGTACTTAAATACCCAGAATGTTCTTCAGTACTTCGAAAATTTTACCGCTTTTTTCTAGTTTCAACAGGTTTTTTCTTGTCTTATTGCCGATCGAGCGCGTACGGAACGCAGAACTCCGGGCGCAAAAATAAAATAGAGTGAAAAATAATTTAATAATCTATACTAATATATAAAGTAAAATGGTCAGTGAACTGTCTAGTTAATCTCGATCATGGGCAAACCGTTTGACGTAAAAAGCTGAATTTCAGCATGCAGGTTGATTAATAGGGTGAAGAGGTTTTATGACAGAGCATTTTCCAAAATTTTAAGAGCATACTACTCCCTAAATATATTTTTTTGCTTCAAAATTGTTGATATAAGAAAAAAGTGGCGAAACACTTCCATGATTTTTTTTTGTTCTTAAAATATGCCCCATGGGGATTTTACACAGGAAAGATATTTGCCGCAACACATAAGGGGGCGTCCATTAATTACGTGAGGTGTTCAAGAGGTGGAGGGGATCAAGCTAAATCTTTCCAAATCTCACTTGGGGGAGAGAGGGTCTCTGTAAATCTTACGTAATATTTTTTTTTTCTAGTAGAAAACGGTGTAAAATTGCGTGTGAGTAAAGTTAAATTAAAGTAAAGAATGTTTTTAGAAATTTTATATTACGGCAATATTCTTAAATACTAGTATTTGCTAGTCTTAAATAAATGTGATAAAACATATTGTGTTTTTGTTTTTTTTTATAAATCAAACGCATTTACACCCAAAACAAATATTGAAAAATCTCACGTGAGGTTAGGAGAGGGGGAGGGAGTTGAGGAAAGTCTTTTAAAAAAATCCCCAAAAATACCTCACGTAATTAATTAGATGTAAATCTCATTGAAACTACCGATTACAAAAATTCGGTAAATGGTTTAATGCCTTTGAGGAAGAACAAGAGTCTGTGTTTTTATTAAGTAAACTACCGGTACTAAATACTAGCACAATGACTTCCTAACTCCCTAGCTGAATTAGAAGTACTAAAATACCTAAACAACAGTAGAACTAATTTAGACATACTAAACGATTATGGGTATATAAAGTTAGTTTTTATTAAATGCAATACAATCCTGCCATCTTCCGCACCAGTCAAAAAACTTTTCTTCTGCTGGAATTTTTGACGCGTCACATAGGCATGCTTTGAGCGACTATAATTTAGATCCAAATAGATTTGTTAGTAGTAGTACTGATATATTTATAAGTTTTTGTGGTACTCTGTTCTTTTTACTTTCCTATCTGTATACAGATATAAGGAAAGTAAGTATAGGAATCATGATTTTTTTCGACCTCGAGTTTTCGACGGATTTTTACGTTTTGAGGTCCCCTGAATCCGTTTTGACTATTTTCGCGTAACGCATAACTCATGAACCGATACACAAAAAAACACCAAATTTTAAACTTAAGCTTTGTTTCAGCGTCCAATGAGCTGATTAGATTTTGGGCAGAGTCGGAACATCTGGGGGGGTACTTTATAGGTGGTCATTTTTATATTTTATGGAATATATCTGTTATTTACGTTTGGAGAAGAAAATTCTTCAAATAAAAGTTACTTCTAATATAATTATCTATAATTTTTATTTTATGCAAAATTTTCCTAAAATGGTCCGTATTCGAGAAATTTGAGAAAATGTAAAAAAAAATAATTTTTTATAAAAATTGTTCAAATAAAAGTTGTTTGTAATATAATTCTCTATAATTTTTATTCTATACATAATTTCTTTAAAATGGACCGTATTCGAGATATTTGAGTAAATGTGTAAATTTCGAATTTTGAAGAAAACTCAAAAACGGATAAAAAAAAAAACATTAAATTTTAAACTTAAGTTTTATTTCGGCCTGACGTGAAATGATTAGATTTTGGACAAAGTCGGAACATCTGGGGGGGGGGGGGGTACTTTATGGGAGGCCATTTTTATATTTTATGGAATATATCTGTTATTTATGTTTGGAGAAAAAATTGTTCAAATAAAAGTTACTTCTAATATTATTATCTATAATTTTTGTTTTATGTAAAAATTTCCTGAATTGGTCCTTATTCGAAAAATTTGACAAAATGTGCAAAATTATGATTTTTATGAAAATTGTTGAAATAAAAGTTGTTTGCGATATCGATCTCTATAATATTTGTTCATACATGATTTTTTTAAAATGGACCGTAATGGAAAAATTGTAGGAAAAGTGCTAAATTTAAATTTTTCAGTATTTTCATTTTCAATGAATATCTATAGAAAAATGTTTCGCGGTAGATGTATGTGGACAATGTATATATTTAGTTTATCCTCTAAACATTTATAGAGATGCTGCAATAGGTTGTACAAAATAACCTGAAAAAGCCTGTAATAACTAGATAGGAAAGTCATGTGTTGGACACATCAGATTTTTTATTTTGTTAATAAATAGTATATTTTACCCTGTACTATTTTATTTTTAAATTGTACGTAAAATATGAACTGATTATTAATAAATACTTTATTACTAATATCTATTATTACTAATCCCGGTTAGCAATGATATTTTAATTTAAATTGAGCTGACTTAGGCCTACCACCAACATAGAATCTTTATTATTTTTATATACTTAAGTAAACACAAATGTACTTAAATGTTTTGTAAGAACTTATTTCAACCTAAATGTACTTAACTACATCTGTATATTATGTACTTAAGTATACAATGTATTTAAGTATCCTACATTGTACTGAAGTATATTTCAGAAGTTAACTACTATATAAAGTACTTAAGTACGTTTTTGTGTACTTAAGACTAATGTACTTAATTTTTCGGATTTAATTACTAGGTACTTAAACACCAAATAGATGTACTTAATTGTACTTGTACTGGTACTTATTCGCAAGTTTTAAAAGTACTTGTACTTGGGACTTCAGTACATTTTACTTGTACTTACAGCAGCTGTGGTACAGGCTCGGTTATTTTGTACAACCTATTGCAGCATCTCTATACATGTTTAGAGGATAAACTAAATATATACATTTTCCACATACATCTAACTCGAAACATTTTTCTATATATTCATTGAAAACGAAAATACTGAAAAATTTAAATTTAGCACTTTTCCTCCAATTTTTCCATTACGGTCCATTTTAGAAAAATCATGTAAAAAACAAAAATTATAGAGATCGATATCGCAAACAACTTTTAGTTCAACAATTTTCATAAAAATCAGAATTTTGCACATTTTGTCAAATGTCTCGAATACGGACCATTTCAGGAAAATTTGACATAAAACAAAAATTATAGATAATAATATTAAAAGTAACTTTTATTTGAACAAATTTCTTCTCCAAACATAAATAACAGATATATTCCATAAAATATAAAAACGACCTCCTATAAAGTACCCCCAGATGTTCCGACTTTGTACAAAACCTACTTATTTCACCTCGGGCCGAAATAAAACTTAAGTTTAAAATTTAATGTTTTTTCCTTTATCCGTTTTTGAGTTTTCTTCAAATTTCGTTATCTACACATTTTCTTAAATATCTCGAATATTAGAGAAATTTTGTATAGGATAAAAATTATAGAAAATTATATTACAACTTTTGTTTGAACAATTTTTATAAAAAATTATTTTTTTTTATTTTGTCAAATTTCTCGAATACGGACCATTTTAGGAAAATTATAGATAATAATATTGTAAGTAACTTTGATTTGAAGAATTTTCTTCTCCAAACGTAAATAACAGATATATTTCATAAAATATAAACATGACCACCTATAAAGTACCCCCCCAGATGTTCCGACTCTGCCCAAAATCTAATCAGTTCATTGGACGCCAAAATAAAGCTTAAGTTTAAAATTTGGTGTTTTTCTTTGTATTCGCTAATGAGTTATGATGGATACAGATACACACACACACACACAGACATCATCGCGAAAATAGTCGAAACGGATTCAGGGGACCCCAAAACGTAAAAATCAGTCGAAAACTGGAGGTCGAAAAAAATCATGATTCCTATAGGTACTTTCCTTATCTGTATACAGCTGTATATAGCAAAAAACTTGAAAAATAGAATTTAATTGTATTAAAAAATTCTGCAACCAAAAAAAAAACCTAAAAGTGAAAAAATAAATAAATGGTATTCTTTTTAAAGTGTAAAAGGTTTTCTTTTGTATTTATATACACTCATTTTTGCCCCTTTTCTCTCGAATGTCCTAAAAAATTGCAGAATTTTCACTATTAGGTTTTTTAAAAACCTAAAAAACCTAGGTGCAGAAAACCTGTACCTGCCAACCCTGCTTTGGTACCTAGGTATTTATACTTTTATATATATAAAAATGTTCAAAAATCTTAAAATTCATTTTTTTTAATATAAATAGTTACTTAAATATGTTTAAATTGCATTTAAATTTGATATAGAATCAATTGATTCAATACAACTGACCAATCCAATTAACACTTGCCTGTCCGTCATGTAAACTGCAATTAATAACTTTCCAAGAAGCCGCCTTAACTGTACAGTTGCATCCTTCTATATCGCACATGGTGTAGCCCGTTTGGGCCGTCACAGATATAAATCGGAGAGTACAGACACAAAAAAACATCCACAACAAGAAGAACCATCGCACACCCATATTTTTCATTCATTCTTGCTACTATGATCCCGTAGTATAACAATAGAAACGAAAGGGAATTCAAATCTCGCACCGGATTCGGAGTCGATCTCGATTGTTCATGATTTCGTAAGTCTAATGTCGGATGTTTATGTTATTGGTCGATTGGGTATACGTCAGTATTCACATAACACCGTGCAGACTTGCAGAGTTGCAGACCGAACTTAAACTGAGTTAGAAGCGAACGCGTTAAGCTTGCCGTCGATGCCGATCTCTGAACCGTAGGCATGTCCGGCTCTTTTTAGTGGGGTTACACAGAACCGCATCTGCTTTTTTATACGGTTTCATGCATCCATTGATTAAATCAGGGAAATTGTTTTTTTATTTTATTAGCTTTTATGTGTCGTGTGTAAATTTTGGAAAAATATACCAAAACATGAACGGGACAAAATTTTGTTTTTTTAACTATTTTAAACCTTCTAAAGTACAGGGTGGGCAAAATTTTTAATAGAGAATCTCGTTAAATATAAATGGTATGGAAAAATGGACCTCCTATCCTAGATCTCTTTTTTTAGAAAAACTTAATGGCATTTTCAAAAATTGGCTATTGTCTTTTGTTTTCGAGTTATAAACAAAAGTTCATTTTTACAATTTGTCATTATGTGGCATTATCTCGCTTATTTATGAAAGTGGAAGAAAATAATGTATACCTTCTTCAGGCACTTTTTAATAAGAATCCAGTGGTGTAGTCAATTTTTTTTTAATTCTTCATTTCAAATTATAGCATAAAGTTGTTGTTTTTTTTATATGGCACGGGTAGTTGGCTGTGACATACGAAAAAGGCAAAAAATTCCACACTCTATACTAGAACAAAATATTGGAGAAAGTGAGTCATATGCATGATCAAAACTGTTGTCTATGAATGAAAATTACGACGGAAAGTAACAGAGTCAGCATAGGCGGTGTATCAAATACCAAATAATTATTTATTATTTATTAGGTATTTGTTAGTAAACTTTATTAAATTTGTTTGTCAACATCTTTATTTAAACAAAGATGATGCGTTTAATATACGTTTTTGATAGTTTTCAAGAAATGAATATATTTATTCCCTAATGACTTCGTTATCTGTGTTTAATAGTTTTAAAAATACCGCTTTTAAAAACGTGTCATCTCCGTTCTTGACAATTTCGTTGATCGTTACATTCATTTAGTTAGACAGACAAAAAAGTCCGTCCATGTGTGGATCAGATAAAGAGTCAAAACCGCTAAATCAGTTGAAATCAGTTTTAGCTCTGCAATAGAGAGTAACATTTTGTAAGATGATACCCTAATATTTGGAGGCGATGACAAATGAATGTGTTTTAAGTAAATAAACGACAGACGGGTTACAGATTGAATATTGTCAGCACAGGCACAAAGACAGTTGAAAACTAACTTTCGACGAAGTTAGATTTGTATCGCTCTAACTATTTACGATAATTATTTTATATTTTATAAACATTTTTTTTGTATAAGTGCTCTTTTCTGATATACAAGTAGGTATTCATGTTTGTGCCTTACAATTTGGTAGTGGTAGTGCATATTCGAGGAGTTATATTTATTGTGTAGTATATAAGGTAGGTACTTTAAAAGTTTATTAAATAGTAAAATATTGGTGTATTTATAAATTTAATAAAAACAATTTAATAGTAGAATTATATTGTTAGAATAGTAATGGATTCAGAGGCGGGTCCAAGTGAAACCCAATTATGTCGGCGAAAGCCCTTATCAAAGGATGAAAAGAACATTATATGGAAAGTGTATGATGGGGTGAAACAGACACTTCCTAAAAATGAAGCTGTAAACCGCAGTTCTTTTTTAACTGGAGTATCTGTTTCAACAACAATTGAACGCGAAAAGACAAAAAAAGCTCCTTAGAAGCCCCTAAAACGTATACCCGTGGTCGAAAATTGTTGAAATTGGACGATAACCAAAAACAAATCATTCTAAGAACTATACATTCTTTTTTTTTTTTTTTTCGAAAACAAAACCCCAACATTTAAAGTTGTTCTTACGAAATTTAGAAAAAAAACGAAGAAATTCCATTAATGAGCCGTGAAACGAAAAATTTTATGGGGCCTAAAATTTCGTTTTGTCAAACGGTGCAAGAAATCAATTTTAATTGTGTAACGAACCAAGGTACCACCCTGTATCTTATTTATATTTCGGTTTGATTTATATTTCATTTTTCAGTTTCAAGATGACACTACCGGTACTATTTCTGGAATCTCCTATCTAGTACCCTGTAGTTCGATTGCTCGGGTTCCTTTTTAGTTCTCTAGATGGCACGCTAGGTACCGTTTAACGCTTATTCGAGTTTTTACACTATTTTGGAAAAAACTCGTAATTCGCACATTTATCGCGACTGATTTTGATTCTGAATACCTCTGGTGCGTGAATTACTTTTCGAAGATTGTGTTCATACCTGTATTTAGGTAAGTTATATTTTTATTAACTAATTTTTGTTTGAGTAAGAATACTTCCTTCGCATTATTTTGGTAATTTTTTGTCGTTTATTAAACTATGAGCTGTTTGTAAGCCGCGGCTTTATATCTGACACACCTTTTCTTATTTTATTTAGAGTTAATAAATCGAACAAAGCGCCGTCGGAGTTTTCTTTCCTACTTCCTGGCCGAACCCGAAACCTGCCACTTTGTGTTAAGTAAGTGGTTTTGCAACAATTGAGAGGTCAGATATAGTGTCCTGGCGACGGCGTTATTTACGAAATATTAAAGAGTTTAGAGCCGCTAAAAAAAGAATATACTATCTCGATGAAACGTGGGTGATTGTTGGACATACGGTAGGTATCTAAGATATGGCAAGATACTTCTGTAACTAGTCATCGCCAAGCTTTTATAGAGGGATTATCTACAGGTTTGAAAGCACCATCAGGTAAAGGACAGCGCCTAATTGTTACCCATATCGGAAGTTACAGTGGATTTTTGGAAAATAGCGCTCTTGTGTTAATATCGAAAAAACAGGAGACTACCACGAGGACATGAATGCGGAATGCTTTGAAAAATGGTTTACTGAAGTATTACAGCGTGTAGAACGAAATTCAGTTATTGTACTAGATAACGCTTCTTATCACAGTCGACGAGTTGAACGCATTCCGATAATGTCTAGTAGGAAAGCGGATATGCAAACCTGGCTGCGGGATAAAGCAATAACATTTACTGAGGAGATGCTTAAAGTAGAATTAATGGACCTAATAAAGGAACACCGTCATAAATATATTCAATATGTTGTCGACACAATGGCTCGTGATCGTGGTATTACGGTATTAAGACTTCCCCCTTATCACTGCGAATTCAATCCTATTGAACTAATTTGGGCGCAAGTGAAAGGGTTTGTAGCTCGAGAAAATAAAACTTTTAAAATAAAAGATGTTGAAAGTTTATTAAAAACCGGTATAGAACGTATAAAACCTGAAGATTGGCAGAATACTATTTCCCATGTAATTAAGGAAGACAATAATATGTGGCGCTTAGACGGTATGATCGAAACGGTAATTGAACCTTTAGTCATAACTTTAAGTTCCGACGATAAAGACGATTCCAGTGATAGTTCTGCAGAATCAATGGATTACGAAACTTCATAGATTTAGAATTCAAGTTAGTGATACCAAGCTTAACTTACATATTTTTATAATAAACAAAATACAATTATAAACATAGATGAATTATTATAACAAAAATAGATAACCAACCTACTTTCATCTAGTAATATTCACAAATACCCATTTAATTTGCCAATATAGTATTTTTGCGACACTGGAAGAGTGCATTTTGATATGATAACGATACCTTTATCAGTTTTAAGGCGCACCTTCTTCAATATTTTGTTCTAGTATAATACCCCATTTAATTTTCCAATAGTGTTTCTACGCCACTGGCATATTATTTACATATTTTAACAATAAACAAAACAAAATTATAAACATAAATGATTATTACTACAAAAATAGATAACCAACCTACTTTCATATAATATTATTTACTATTACCGCATTTAATTTGCCAATAGTTTTTATACGCCACTGGCGTAATACATTTTGGCAATAAACATGCATTTATGACTAGTTGGCCCGTGATACCGATAATTTCTGCAGTTTTAAGCGCATGATTCCATTCAGTATGCTCTGGTATAGTATGATTGTTGTACGTGAACAGGAAGGAATCACCTTCTTCAATATTTTGTTCGAGATAACGACATATATAATGTGGGGTCAGTTTATTCATTTTTATTGTTATTTAGCAAAATATCATTATTTTTAAAGTAATCTATAATACTATGTTGTTTTCTAGTAAGTTTTTGTCATTTATAATATTTCTGATAGAACAAAGTATCTGTTATTGCATGTTATTAAAATACTGAACAACATTTGATCGTTTACGACATTACTTTTAAAGAGTAAAATGGTCTCATGTAAATAAATAAAAAATGTAATTTATAACAATATTTTATTCAAAGTAATAACAAACAAGCAAGTGAATTATATTTTGATCATTACTCGAAAAGAAGATAACCTAATAATTATATTTACAAACAATTTAAAGAAAATCTCATACATTATGGAACTTTTAACAAATCAGGGACGAAGAATTATTATATTGACGATGCTGTTCTACCAATTACATCATTAAAAAATATAAAGCTATCTAGTATATAAGTACGGTACATAACTTTAGGAGCGTATTCTGGAACTAAAATAAAAGTATTTTTGTCATATACACCATGTCTCAAAAATGCTTCATTAAAGTGTGAAAGTTTCATAAAAAAATACATTTTTTTAAATATTTCCAAAACCACTTAAGATATTTTAATCAAACTACTCGCTGAAAAATATGAAAGGAAAAACGTGTTACGCCACTGTTCTGTTTTTAATGTTCGATTTGGAAGAAAAAGCAACAAAGACAGTAAATTTTTTCATTCTTTTTTATTATTTTTAATCTCTTTGACCAATGTATAACAAAAAAGTTATTTTCAATTTTTCCCAGGTACTTGTTTGACATTGTACTTTATTTGTATGTCAGACATTAAAATGAATAACTTTACTAACGCTCAAATGGCTCAAATGCGCTTCATTTATGGCTTAGCAAATGGGAATTCAGCGGTAGCTAGAAGAATTTATCAGCAACGTTATCCGAATAGGGTAACGCCTGTGCTAAAACATTTAGAAAGATACATGGCAGATTGAGTGAAACCGGTAGTTTTGAGCATAATCAAGT